TAAACCGGGGATCCTGTTTTTTATATTTGCAGTTCCTGCAACCCCTCCCCATCTAATGTGCTGGCTACCATCGAATCAGTCGTTTTGGCCGGGCCGCTACTTAGTCCTTACCTGAAATAAACTGACCAACTGATTTGAGGAAATAAAAAAACATAGCTACAGACTGCATTGGCGGTGGTGTACTACCACAGACCATCATTGCTCTATAACTGGGAGGTGATTTTTTTAAGCGCTTCCCCTTCGTATTCCTGTATGTTCTTGCTGTTGTGGCATCACCTACATGCATTTAAAAAAACACACAAAACTCCAAATAATTCTAGATGGGTTACATTTTTAAATGATAATCTGTCTTTGAGTCAACACATAGAATGTATAGCCATGTATTGGTATCACCTACATGTAGTGTACACCACCCTTTACTGTAGCAGGTGAGAGCCACTGAGACTAACATTCCTTTTTCAAGAGACATCTGGGTAACAGCGGCGGGCCAGGAGTGGCTACGCACGTGGCCTGTGATCCAGCACTGTGGAGGCAGCAGCGATAGTTGGTGAATCACTGCACAAATGTTGGAGGTGCCATACCCTGGTTCGCCAGGAGATGGCGGTACTACAAGCGAACTAATCGCCATCTGTTTCCATCTGTATGGTGATATAGTATTGCCCCTTCGTGCATTGTTGCAAGATGTTAACTACCTCATCTGGTGTACAGGAGGTTGTGGGTTCGATCCCGACTAACGCCTGCTGCATATTTGGAGTTTGCATGTCTCCCTCCCTGTGCTTGTGTGGATTTTACTCTAAGTACTCAGGCTTTTCTTTCCACATTTAGAATCAACATACATTTAGATTATTTGTTGCTATCAATTTTCACGTGATAGGTCGCTTCATTGAGCTATCATTTGTGATTGGCAGGTTACTTCGGAAAAGGAGCTACATGGATCAGTGCGCCATACCTGGTAAAATACATAGTTTACATGGGGATGTATCTGGGTGCCCCGGTTCTCTCCCACTTGTATAAACACTCATAGATTGGTTGAAAACATCTTAAAATAAAAACCTAATGTAGCAGGTCCCTCCTGAAACAGAATCGTTGGACTCTTTGTGGCTTTCTTGGATCAATAAATATATATTTTTTTTATCATTGAACAAATGGCCTGAGCATATTCCGTCATAAACCTGATATTACCAATTAATTAACAATAAATAATAATGTAGTGAATATATTATTAACATATAGTAGAACAGCTTCCAGCAAGATACATTTTTAGCTGTGTAATATTGTACCGTTCAAAAGCCATTGCATTCCTAACGACCAAGAAGTCCACCCAAATTTTCAATAAAAACACTGACTGCGAGATGTTAACTTTTTCGCCTGGTATGCATGAGGTTGTGGATTCGATCCCGACCCTGACGCCTGCTGTATATTTGCGGTTCGCATGTTCTTCCCGTGGTTGCGTGGATTTTTATCCGGGCCCTTCGAGTTTCCCCTCCACGTTTAGAATCAACATCACGCGTTCAGAGATTTTTATTTTGGCTGCTATAAATATCCGCATTATAATCCACTTCGCCGAGCTATCATTTGTGATAGCAAGGTCGCTTCTGAAAAAGAGCTATATAGCTCAGTGGCCATTGTCTGATAAAATAAAATTGGTTTAGTTTATTGGGGAGGGAATTTAATATGAGGGGGAAAGAAACACTGCAAGACAGCCTGTGATAAATGCAACTTTGGGCCCGGAATCAACAACAACAACAACGACAACAACAATACCACCAACGAGCCCCAGAGACAGGCTGGGCAGGCAGAGCAACATCACAGAGTCCCCATGAGGACAACCTCGAGAGGGGAGATGGAGCCTTCATCAAACGACTGCTAGGAAATGCATTGGGGGGGGGAGGGGGGGGCTTGGATTCCTCACCTATGAGTCTCAGCAACAGCAGCTGTTGTTTGTGTGTGTGTGTGTCAACCTTGTTGCTATTAAAGTTGAGCGATACCTCTCCGTGCGATGCGAGTCCAGTCGCGCGCTCACACACACACAGCCCACCGCTTCCACTCGGCCGTCTCTAACCAGGGCACGTGATTCATCCCGACGGGCCGTGCAGCGGAGCAGTTGCGACGGTCGCGTATGACTCCCTTCCAACGTGGCGCCGTGCTTCGATTGTGGGCCTTCGCAAAACAGCCCTCCCACCCACCCCGCTCATGTAAAGGGAAATTTACACATTTGTAAGAAGAGAGAGAGGGAGACACTCCCTTGGTTTTTACCCTTACCCATGGCTCAGGCTCCTTACTTATTAATGTCCGTGTTTTATGCTCGCGACTGATTGCTGCCCTGCTTCCCTCTCACGGAGTCGTCACGGCCATAAAAGTGCACGGAGGCTTCCCCCCGTGTTTTGAGGCTCCGCGAAGTCTTATCGCGTGCAGTCCCTGAACGCCGCGAGTTCCACGCGAGCCTAATGACGCCGCCGGAAAGTAATGAAAGCTGCGCTCGCGCTAATTATAAGATTAATTCAGGGATACCACATAAAGGTTAAACCTGCCTCAACTTCCCCACACCCCGCGACAAACAAGGTTACGATTATTATTTTTTTTCGCCACCAATCCTAATTAGCAATGTGTTAATACTGTTAAAATATCAAACGGGGCCATACGATTCCATGGAAACGTGTGGCCTAGGAACACATATGAAAGATGTTTTTTTTTACCCACAGCCCACCGTCACATATCTTCGGCGAACGTCATCGTCGTCGATCTCGATTCATCTACCGCTTGATTAAGGCTTCCCGAAGCCCATTGCCATCTCTCACAGTTTGACCATGCAACAATCCGTGGACATAAAAAAGTGATTTGGGGGGGGGGGGGGGAGGGGTTTAGATCGCGTAAACATAAATGTGTCGTTAAACCCGCCACCACCCGACACAGCCAATTAAGTGCGGTTATTAGGGACAATATTGGCCGTGAAAGCCGACGTGTCAAGCAATCCGTTGGACAGTTTCATCTTTTGCCGTGGCGGCGGCTCGCGGCCCCGTGTGCCCCAGTAGAAGCGCTCAGTGCGCCAGTGCACGCGCATCGGACTGGGGAAACACCGTCCGTGGCTGCTGTGCTGTCCGAGCCTAATGTCTGATGTGTGCGAGTGGCAGGCGCGGGAGAGGGAGGGGGGAGTGCCAAGGGGAGAAGTGAACTGAGAGAGATAAGGGAGGGGAGGCGGGCTTGGAGCCCAGACGAGAGAGGCATTTGAAAGGGAATTGCAGGGCAGGATTCATTATGTATGTGCGTGCACGCACGTTTTGTGTGCGCACAATCGCGTGCGGTAGTGTTTTTTTGCTAAAAGGGCCGAATGTTTATTTCTGAAACGTGTGTACAAGACAATATTGGGGGTTTTGTTGTTGTTTTTGTTTAATGCAACATCATTGTAATGGAATTTGACGCTAATGTAATTCCAGCTTTGCCTCTGTGGGCAACGCATTGCACATGTCATTTATGTTCAAGTATTGGAATGTGATGCGTCACGCGTGCCTGATGAATACGGCTTAATGTGATATGGGTGAATCCGTGTGCATGGCAAGAGATGACGGAGTGGTTAGCGCACTGCACCACGGCCCTCACGACCTGAGTTCAATTCCCGGCCATGGCTAACATCAGTGGGAAACGGTGTCAGGGCTTTTCCTTGGGTCAACTCAACCTTGAATGGGAATATGAGAAATAGGGAGACAAAAGTGGTCAAGCCTGGTGTTGTGGTTACTCTACTCACTTGCACACTGTGCCTTATATTGGCATAGCGCGCCTTAGCTCAAGGCGCTCTACAATAGAGTTTAAAAGCGGCACAATTTTACAGCGATTTAGATGGCAGGGGCAGTGCCAAGGCTGAGGAAAGAGTGGCCGCCACGGAGGGCACACGTGAGGGTCACAAAAGGGCTATCGGGGGGGGGGGGGGGCGGAGTGGAGGGGCGATCGGAGGGACGAGCAAGGGAAGTGGGCAATGAAGAAGGCTTCAAAATAAGAACAAGACTGCATTGACAGTTGCTCACAAACATCACTTACACGAACAGTCCGTGTGGCTCTCCGGGTGGTATGGGGATCTCATTGTGTGTTTGTGTACATGACTGTCACAGTGTACACATGCCCGCTACTTGAACTCGTGATCAATTGTGCAGCAATGCTGAATCATTTTTGTGCCTGTCCCTGGGTACGAGTGCGGACATCTGTGTGCATCCCCGTCTCTACCCTCGCGGTCGTGTGCTTTTAGTCCACCCGTGCATGACTGGTGATCCATGCGTGCATTTCTCCAGGCATACATGGTGAGGTGGGGTGGGGGGTGGGGTGGCTGTTACCGTATGGGATCATTCATATGCACGCCTTTGCGGGGTCATGGCCAGTGCGTTTTATTCCAGAAGACTTGTCCGCCGGCATTTCAGGAGTTGCGCATTCCCTTTTCCACTAAAATCCCACAGAAAACGGCATATACGTAATTGCTGCAAGATCGATGTCCAGTTCATAGAGATGCCGGCTCAGTGACGAATGTTCCATTTGAAATGATTTATTGTGTAGGTTGGGGGTTGGCTTTCATGATTTCATACTCACTGCTTAACTATGTGGATAACGACGCGTTGACTGCTCCTCGATTATGTACGTACTAATTGTGAACTTCTTTTGCACCGTACTTAGCCAACCATGCTAATCGGAAGCGTGTCATTATTGTAATTGTTGGCATTGTTATGGTATTGCTGTCATATGTGTGTGAGCAGCCGGCGATACCGCAGCGGTTAAAGCACTACGCTATGAACCCAGCAACCCGAGTTCGATTCCCGCTCACGGCCAACACCAGTGACGATTATCTGAACCGGTCCTGGGCTTCCCCTAGGTCAAATGAGTACTTAGTGCGGTGTATAAAAACATCGCCACCGGGGAAACAAAGGCGGTCGGGCGTGGTGCTGGCCACGCTACCCCCTCGTGTGCCGTGCCGGTCTTCATAGGCGCTGCTCGCTGACATCACTTTGTTTTTGGAACAGCGGGCGAAACGACGTGGGAGGTGGAGGAGAACGGCCGCACGAGTTCGCTCGTGAGCCACGTGGAGTTTTTGGCCGCCCCCGAGGACGATGGGGCGCCGGTCACGTGCCAGGTGGAGCACCCGGCCCTGCGGGGTGGCCCACCCCTCCGCTCGCACCGCACCCTCGAAGTTCTGTGTACGTAACCGCAACCGCCACTGCACCGTCACCCCTGCACTGCCACCGCGGGCGCCCCACACACAATTCACGAGCGCCGCACGCATCTCCGCCGCGAGCCACTGGAACGCTGCAGAGCTGGGCCATCGCTCGGCCCTTCTTCTGCCGTGCTTCCAATTAGCGCGGTTGGCTACGTGCGGTGCGGGGAAAGTTCGACGTACGTTCTTAGGAGGTCCGAGCTTGGCTCAAATCACAATAATACAATCTACTATTTGCGTGGATGAAGCGACGATATCCCCAGAAAAAAATTTTTTTACTTCTAAATGTTTCTGCCGGTTGTTGTCTTTTTTATTAAACAAAAACTGAGTGCTGAAATTGACCTGAGCACGTTGTTTACCGCTTCTGAGCGTGGCCCGGATTGAGTGAAGCGTGCAGCCCGGCCTGGTACTCGCGTGGCCTGGGTAAGGCTTCCGTGGGAATCCCAGCCAAACCCACCCACCAGGTTCCCAAACTACTCAACTTTATTTGATCAGTTAAGGCCCTCTGAGCTGTACAGCTCTTTTTCAGAAGCAACCTGGCCATCACAAATGATAGCTCAACGAAGTCGCTTAACATGTGGACATTTATAACAGCCAAACAAACTCCAATTTTATATAAAATTTTATATTGCTGTGGTTGTCCCACCTGATGACGGACGCTTGTGTTGCACCCGAAACGTCGTGAATTTATTATTTTATTTCTATTATTATTTCTATCATTTTATTATTTACGTTTATTATTTATTTTTACCTACATGACTTTACCGAAAAAAACCTAAGAGTATGAATCCTTGCAGTCACGAAAGCTTCAAATCTAGAAAGGCACTCAAACACGCGCGTGAGGCATGCCAACAACAAACATCTGAAACGGCAACAACACGTGGTGTGTCGATGAGAGAGCACGATGCGAACATGAACATGCTGTAACCCATCTCACCACGTCCGTGACTGCGGCGATTCTATTGACAGCAGTCCATCCGACGAGAAATATTTTGCCGTTCTAAAGCCGTTAAGCTGTGTGGACATGCGACATTTGAATTTATACGACAGTTTCTGCTCAACGGAGCTCAGTTTGTCCACCAGTGTTAAGCAATGTGTATTCCTTTAAGCCCCGCGGGGTATTTAATCTTTTCGTGCAGTGTTTCAGAAAATTTACTTTTCTTGACGTCTCGCATGCGCAACTGAAGTGTAATTATTTACTGTCTGACGGTGCGTGCGTTGGCTGTGGCTGTGGGCTTAATGCGTTCCTCGCCACGAGCCATGGAAAACGGGCAAACGGAGGCGCAAACCCTGCAGCGGCGGTGTTTAATTCGCGAGGCTCGCGATGCGTGCGGAGTGTAAGACGCATTGGCGGTCACACGCAGCCCTTTTTTTGTGGCAAGCCCTGTACATGCTTGTATCTGTGTGTCGTGTGCCGTGTGTGTGAGCGTTCACGTGTGTGTACGTGCGTGTGGACCCAACCTCAAACGAGTACCCTGGTGCGGTGTGTGAGACATCGCCACAAGGGAGACAAAGGCGGAACGGACGTAGTGCTGGCAACCCAGCCCATCGCGTGCCGTGCTGGCCTTCATAGTTTATCGCTGGCAGCACTTGCCCGATAGTCTGTGAAGGCTATTTGGGGGATATTTGTCTTAATGGCGGCAGCGCTCTGAATAGTTACATGGGGAATCTTTCATCTTTCAATGTCCACGTGTGTGTGGATAGCGGTAGTGCAGCGGATTGCGCGCTGCACTATGAACCCAGCCGTCCGAGTTCGATTCCCGCTCACGTCCAACACCGGTGGCAATTATCTAAATGGGTCCTGGGCCTCCCCTAGGTCGACGCAGCCTCAAATGAGGCCCGATGCGATGCGCAAACATCACCACTTGGGAGACAAAGGCGGCCGGGCGTGGTGCTGGCCACCCTACCCCCTCGTGTGCCTTGCTGGCCTTCATAGTTGCTACTCGCTAACGCCACTTGCCCCAAAGGTCTTTGAAGACTACAGGGGGACGGGGGGATCTTTGTCTTTGTGCATAACAATGGGAAGTGTGGGAGTTAATCTTGCATCAATTGCTGGGTAATAACGCCGTGGGGCGTGTGAGTCGTGCACCTGCCACTCACCCGGTGTGGTCGAATCATAACATGTGGGGGGGGGGGGGGGGGGTTCTGTTCAAACATCTCAATAATCTCCCAATATTAATCATGATAATCAATAATCTGCCACCATCGAGCCTTCGCCACTGCTCGCAGCCTCCGAGCGCACCTAGCCTGGCACGAGCAGCCGCGGCGAAAGTCACCGCCGAATTGCACAGCTGCCGTTGTTGCCGTCGTTGTGTTCGTGACTTGTGTGTGGGTGGGGTGGGGGGGGCTGTGACCGTGCATGAGTGGATGCCGCTTTTGCTCTCGTCTGTCTATTTAATTACTAAAGAGCTCGTGGAAAGATAAAAACATCTGCAATTTTCTTGTCACAGACAAACCCATCATCAACATCATCGCTTCCAGCAGAAGCGTCCGCGAGGGAGACAAACTGGAGTTGATCTGCAACGCCACGAGCAAGCCCAGGTGTGACCGTGCACCCCTCCTCCCTGCTCGCGTATTTAGCATTAAAGTTTTTTTTTCGATCGAGTCCCAATTATGCTCTGCCACGTTCCGCCCTAAGCCCTGTACTAAATTGTGGTCGATTGCTTTTCAGCAACCCTAATGGCTTCTCCCCAACCATCACCCTCCTCCTCTTTCCAGCCTGTCACCTCTGGGGAACAAAGTCAGCTGCGAACTGATTGATTTTAAACAAAATTGATCCTTAAACCCGTCCATGCCTCTATCATGTCCTGTAGGACAGATTAGGAAACGGTTAAGATATTAGCATAAAACATTATTATCATGTTTTTTTGGGACGACACTTGCAAGCGTTTGTGAATGCATCTATGAGAAAAGTCCCCCCCGATTGGAGAGGTCGACGCAAATAATATTTTGATATTAAAATAAACTTTTGTTATCCTCGAAATTCTTAATAAATGGGTTAATAACCGTGGTTGGGGCAATGTCGCAGGTGTGAATATGTTTGTTGTGGTATTAACTGCATTCATCTTTATTGTCGCGAGAGGGTTTTCTCTTGAACTGCAGCCTGCCGCGTTTTAGCGGAAAATAAAAAAGAAATTATTGCAGACGGTGCAATTAATGATTTATGTTTTTTAATACGTCGCGTATGAAAATTACATCCAATGCAAACACGTAAAAAAATTCTTGTTAAACTGTCCTTACAACTGCTAAGCGGCTTTGTCGCTAGCCCGCGTTACTAAATCGCAACCACTGCTGTACAATAACAAGAATAAAATTCAGGTTTGTGAGACATTTCATTTTTTGTGCGGCGTGTGCAACGGGGAAATACGTTCGCAGCGCCTGCAGGCAACCCCGTGGCCTGTTGCTCCCTGGGGGCCATAGCACCGCTACCACGTGCATTGGAGGGGCCCACCGATACAAAGTGTAAATTGTCATTCGCGAGACGCTCAATTATTCAGAGTTGTCCTGCTCATACGAAGCCGTTCGTGCACGTGTGTGTGCACGCGCGCACGCGCATTCGTGCGATATTCCAGCGGTTAGGGCGCAGCGCTACGAACCCAGCGACCCGAGTACGATTCCTGCTCACGGCCAACACTAGTGACGATTATCTGAATCGACCCGGTCCCAAATGAGTACCTGGTGCGGTGTATAAAAAACATCGCCACTGGGGAAACAAAGACGGTCGGGCGTGGTGCTGGCCAACCACCCCCTCGTATACCGTGCCGCCCTTCATTGGTGCTACTCGCTAACAGAGCTTGCCCCCAAAAGTCTGCTAGAGGCCATACGTTGGGTGCCTTTGTCTTTGTGCGTTCTCGTGTGTGTGCGCGCGCGGCGTGCGCACACGCCGACTGCCGCTCGCGCAGCCCCGAGCGGGTGCAGTGGGTGCGCGTCGACGGCGAGATGCCCGAGCGCGCCAACGTATCGGGCACCAAGCTGCTGTTGGCCGCGCTCAACAAGACGGACAACGGCACGTACCGCTGCGAGGCGAGCAACCGCGTGGGCTCCTCCACCGACGAGTACACCCTCGTCGTGCAAGGTGAGCCGTCAACGCCCCAGCCCTGCCCTCGCCTCTCCCTCCCTCCCTCCCCCCACGTCCTGCCCCCCCCCCCACCGCCCCTCTCTGACAGCCCCACGTTCCGCACGTAACTTACTACGATCAGCGGAACAGACGAGCCCAGCCACCGCCCACCGTTGCCCGCCGCCACCCCCACCCCCCCCACTGCCCCCACATCAGACTCTTCAGCGGTGTGCCAATCGATAAACACATTTCGGAGTTCCGTTATGCGCAGGCACCGCTTGCCATGCCGCGCACGTCTCTGCGATCGCGCGCACGGACGAGCGCGTGCGCACGCGTGTGTCTTCCCTCATGAATATACTGCGCCGTACATCAACGTGTTTGTTTATTCCTTAATGCAGATCACTTTTTTTAAATAGTGGGTTTCCCCCGCCCCCGCCCGCGCCATTCCCACCAACGACACCGCCTGACACTGAAGGTTTTAAACTCGCGCCGCTGTTGATTCCTCTGATTTCTGCCCGTGACATATGAGTCACTAGATTTGACCTTCAAATTCTGCTGCGCGCGACCTATATTCCCCCCACCCCCTCCCCGGCCCTCCGCTCTCGTGCGTACGCGTCCACGCACGCGGCGGCATTAGGCCATCGCCGCTCACATTACGCACCCTCCCAAGAGAGCTCGTTGCCATTTACCAAAGTGTCGCGACCCCCCCCCTCCCTCACCCGACATGATCAAAATCAGGTCGGCGAAATGATTGACAGTTGCCCCCCCAAGAGGGCCCCTAATTGGTGTATGGGAACCAGAATGCGATTGTTGGCAGTTGACGCCTGCCAACTTGACTTTCACGTTTTCTCTTTCTCCCTTCGTGTTTTCTTTCTCTAAATTAATTTGTCCAACTTGTTAACGGATCCAAGCGATGCATGCATTTTTCACCGTCACATTTTCTGCAATTTTTATTTTTTCCACGATTGCATTGATGTGCTGTGGTTTTTTTCTTTCTGGTATTTTTACTACGGCCGTCATCGCCAAAAAGAAAACGACAGTGCAGTAAATGGCACCCTGTAATTTTTCCAGATTGGATTTAGACATTATGTCTTGACATGGCTAACAATGAGTTCACTTGTGATGAATACAGCCGAGAAAATGTAACGTTCGATCGGTAATTGCTGTATGCGTTAAGTAGCCCTCATCCAGTATGCATGAGTACTGGGCCTGACTTCAAATATTGACATCTCATGGAAAGCACATTCAGCCAACTCCCGGTCACATTTGCGACACGTTTTTTTTCTCAGTTTTCCTTTCATTCCAGCGTTTGCCTTCCCTTTATGCACGAATGTTAATGCGCATTTGTTCGCATTATGCACAGTAAAATTTCGTTTCACCGCTCGACGGCAGACGCGCTTATCTCCAGCGTTCTAGATGTAATCGATCTCGCTCTCACTCACGTCCTCGCTTCACCTTTACCATTTCCCCTCCGTCGCTTCGCTCCCGAGAGAGTGTGTCCCCCCCCTCCCCTCCGTTGTGAGTCGCATCCTTCGCTCTTCGACATTCCTCCTCGCGACATCTCTCGTCCGAGCTCGCTCGCCTGCCCTAACCAGATTGGCGTCTGACGTGGCTGTCCCTGTTATTCGGTCGCCTCGTTCTCATATGAATGAAAATGTTTGTTTTCCATGCCTCGCACACTTCAGATTCAGTGCCGTTCCCTTGTTTTATTGCGCTCGTGTTTGATCCGTGCGCCTCAGCTGGTTCTTTGCTCTTCAAAACAAAGTATTTTTTTCATATCTAACATTATCGTCGGCGTGGTAATGATCCGTTGCATGTCTTTCATGTTTTATTTCAGCCGTGCCTCCCAAGAAGCTTACCGCAATTTTAGAGATCTCTGCGCGTTCATTTTATCCGATGTGTTTTTATGTGCTCGCTGATGAATCAGTTCACGTAGGTGGTGCTTTAAGCATTTATTTTAGGTGCATACAATGAGGCCTGATTTGTGGAGCTATTTTTACCGCCATTTCGCCAAATTATGCCTTTTGAAATGTACATCCACCCCACGTTCCGCCGCTCCTCTTGCCGCAAGCGCGGGAGAGAACAAAACATGGTTTGGGGTTAGGCCCCGTAACCATTGGCGGCGGAATGCTTCCACATAATTTGTGTCAATTGCTTAATCGCGGAAAACACGTCCTACCCTCTTTTTTTGGAATGGCGTCAATCACGAATTTGGAGGCGTGGCTTGCGTGGGGGAGCCCCTGGGAGGAGGTCAGGAGGGGCCCACTCCTCCCCACAGGTCCACGAGCGTGTGGTTGCTGCCTCAGCTCCGTGACTTCTTTTTTGTTCTCCACATTGCACGTAATCTTTTCCGACAGGCTTTTTGATGCTCCAAACGTGGTAAGAGCCAGTGCAATGCCGGGCCTGCAGGCTCGCGCGCCATGCGCAGCAGGCGACAGTTGATGAAGAAGGCAAAGGAAGACTGAGCGATTGTGTTGATGGGTTTGATGAATGATCGTAAGATGAAAGTGGGGTGATAGTGATGAAGATGAATCGGGCCAGATGACCCTTGAGGGTGGTGACATGGCCTTATCGGTACCACCTTCGCCACTTGTTTGTCGCAGAGGTTGATGGTTCGCCCTGATTAATACTTTGTGTGAATTAACCACAGAAATACTGTGCGCGCCGTCCGCTTCCAGGTGAACATTAGATGCCCTGATGTCATTCACGATGATTCGGCCGTTACATGCCGGACATCTGGGTCCGTGTTTGTTACGTTTGAAAATGACCTGCAAATGACTCAATTGGAATCTAAGTAGCGTTCATCACCCCCACGAATGCAAAAAGTTGGCAAGGACCCTCCTGAAAATGTCACGAGACTCATTGAGGCGTTGCTGGGTAAACGAGAGTGGAATAACAAACAAAGAATATTTCTTCATAAATCAATGACTGGGTGAGCGCCCTCCCCACATTGTCGTGTCACTCATGGAGGTTGCTTGTTTCACCATACTTCACCGCACCAGTCAGTGTGGGTCGGTAAATAATTCCCTGGTTCACTCATCCTGGTCTCTCGAGATCTCAGCTGGTTACACAAAGTAAACTTTGCCTATCATTCTATTGCATCAGCCCACCTCACCTGCTGTGGATAGTCTCCAGGCCCTCTTTTGGTTGAATGTAACCATTTTGAACGTCCTCGGCCGTGTCTCATTACTACATTCTCGCTTGCAGATATTTTCGAAAAGCAACGGGTATACGCAGTTAGCATGCAATCATATCTTAAGGGACAAGCAGAGGGCACATTTATGGGAAGAACTTTTGAGTGCCGTTATGTTCGGCGAGACTGCTTCTCGCATGATGTGAAAACGATGGAGTACAGTCGTCCCTCGGTTAACAGTGATATCGGTTATTAGTTTTTTGGTTAATGTTTCGCCTCCCATAGGATCCCATAGTTTCCCGACTAATGTTAAAATGTTGAACGGTACATTTATGCTATGCACGCAGGCGTCAATTTCGGCCAATCCAAGCGCTCGAAAGTGGGCCTGAGCCATGCCCTCAGCCAATCAGCGACGTCCATTTATGAGTGTTGAGACCTCGACTGACTTTGTTTACATTACGTTTTCTGTTTTTGGCAGTGGAAAAAGCTCTCTTGCAGACTAGGGTCAACTTCTGATCGTCTTGGAATAGATTCATGCTTTTAACATGGCATTCCTATATTTGAACAATAGTTATTTCGGTTAACAGTAGTTTTTATGTAGTTATTTTTTGGAGAGAAACACATTTATAAGAAATACCAAGACATCATTATTCGTGATTATTTTTGTGGTTTTGTTAGTTCCTTAAAAAAAACCCTCTTGCATTTAAACGTGCACAAATAATCATCACTTCCATAGCCATCCGGAGGAGATGAAAGGTGAGAATGAATTGCCTTATGTCATCCCTACGCATGAGCAGTTAACCCAACTAATGCATCGCTCACATTACAGGCAATTTTAAGCAAACATGCGAATATACAGTAAATCAAATTCTAAAGTGCTTTCCTACTCAACGGAGCATGGGGCACTATTTGTGTCTTGTTTATGGCCCTGAGCCAGTGGTGGAAATTTCACGTTCCTATGGCAGGGACAAGTCTTCCGAAATTAAAACTGTTGTTGACTTGCCCCACAAAGTGGCACTCATTAAATTGATCGTCCAGAAATATTTGAATTCGCAGCCTTACAATATAAATATGTATTTTTTATTTCATATTTTTTTTATTTCACCACATAAGGCCCAGAAGCGACCTGGCCATAAAATGATAGCCCAATGAAGTGGCTTATCGTGTGGAATTTTACAGCAGCCAAATACTCTAAATGCATGTTTCTAAATATGGAGGAAAATTTTTGAGGACCCGGAGAAAAATCCATGCGACCAAAGGGAGAACTTGCAAACTCCACTTCGGCGCCACAAATATCAGGCTACACCCACTCCTAACAGCCAACCATCACACCCCCTTGTCTACCTTCCAGCCATCACACCCAGCCATCCTGACCACCCAGGCACTACACCTCTACGACCCCCCCCCACCGCCCCCTTGATGCCTACCAACACATCTCCATGCCTACCATCCAATCCCCGAACCCCAATCCCTACTGCCCAGCCACCACATTCTCATTCCCGCCCGCACCTCGTGCCAATGCACACTTGGGCCTTTGTGTTCCCGATCCCAGGGGCCTATTGAGGGAGGGGGGGGGGGGGGTGCAAGGGCGATGGTGGGTGTACTTGTGAGAAACAACACTGAAACCTGCCAGAACTGATGAACCAAATACCCATGAAGAAATTTTGCTTTTGCTTTGCATGAGTGTTTGGTTATTATTGTGTCTCTACTTATCTTTTACAATTCCAAATATTTGTTTTTATATATAAACGTTTCCACGATAACAAATGCTTCCATATTTATGATTTAAAAATTCTCTCGAATTTTTTTCGGAATTTTTGTTTTGTCATTTACCATTTGCATGCATGCACGCACGTTTTGTTTGTTTGTTTTGCTGTTGTCGGAAGCACAGATCACCCCAATACAATCCATCCCACCGCCAGCTCCCCTGCAGCAAAGCCGACACGTGCAGGTATGGATCAAACAGCCGAGAAAGCCCCCCCACCCCGCCCCTTATCCCCCCGCCCACCGACCTCCACCCCATTCCTTCCCCAAACCTTCCCTCCCACAGTCCTCTTCCCCAGGCAAGACTAATCGGTTTGGGCGACGCAGAACAGCAGGCTTTCCCCGGGTCCACCACATCGTCTACCTCCTCGCGCTGAATAGATGCAGGTAGTCACCGAGACCTGACGCTTGTCAGGTAGAGGCAGTATGCTCATGCGGAAGGGTGATGGTGCGGGAGAGTGAGGAAAAGGATGAGGTGGGAGTTGTGAGTTTTGTGCTCTTAAACATCCATGTACCCCCCCCGCCCCCACCACTGCAGTGTTGGCCAGCGTGCGCTGTTATTTTTAAATATATATTGTTGCAATGCATTACGCTACAAATTTTCTATGCTCCTGGGGTTTGGAGCATTGTCAGCAAGATGCAGCTCCCTATGATTACCCAGGGACCGTGATTAATGAGCACAACTCTGCAAACGTTGCGTAGCAATGTCTCTTTTTTATTTTCACTTGCTTGGGGGGTGGTTATTTTTGTTTACATCGCATAAGCAGAGGATGTTGGTTGGATCAGGCCAGGTTCTTTCACGATCACATCCACTCGGAGTGTGCCCGATCTCGCCGGACACTAAACAGAGTTGAGGCCTGGCTAAATCCTAAATGTAAGACTGCCTGGGAAGACCAGGTGATTGTAGGCTTAGGCTGCGAGTTGGATATGCGATTGCATTTCAGCAGTGGATTGAATCCACCTCTGGCGAGCTTTGAGTATTTACACCCTAATGCACGTGGTGGGTTTTCAATGGGGAACTCCGGTTTCCTGCAAACACCCATTCATGGAATTGGCCAAACTTCCAAATGCAGGTCCCCCCTGAAAAATAATCTTCAGACTCGGTTTTTTTTATATCTAGATTAAGGGAATTGTCATCATTGATGTTAAACCAAGTTTTCATATTCTTAGGTTTTTTTTGGTAAAGTCACGTAGGTAAAACATAAAAATTAATAAAAGTAAAATAAAATAAAAATCACGACGTTTCGGAGGCAACACAAGCTTCCGTCTTCCGTCTTCAGGTGGAACCGTCACAGCCACGACAGCTGTATCAAGTTTCCCATGCATACGAGGCAATATTTCACGTGGTTCAATGGATTATTTCATCTGCTGGTTAAACAAAGAATACTCACTGACCGTATTGCTTTGGCTTACCTTCCCTCCCTGGTTCAGTTATGTTTCCGCTCGGCTGAGACCCCCTGGCGGCTGCTTGCTTGTCGGTTGGTATATGCCAAGAAAGGACATATTTAAAAGTGTTCAAGTAAAAGCAGTGGTCAAGTGAAGTCAAACGAGTCGCTGACACCCACACACACACACCGAGCATTCCCCTGAAGGCCACCGCTGCCATTGAGAACTTCTCAGCGTGTGTTCGGGTGGTTAATTTCGCACTGCCACATTCTCCCACGACGGCAGTCAATACCCATGACATTTCATCATTTTGGGTGCTGCCCAGAGACTCAAGTTGTAACCAACATGTTATTTGGATTTTTTTCATTATTTATTATCGCAATAAAAAAAACTCAGCTCAAATGCCAGAGGAATGCGACAAGCGTTCAGACATTTCTTAAACCCCCATGAGATTATTGAGGGGACATGGCCACAGTTATTTTTTAACCGAAGTCGAAGGGCATAGGATGTATGTCACTCATCATCAATACATTGGGAGGGGGTAGCATCCCTGGATCCTTCACATCAGAATGAGCGATTATTAGACTCTGCGACAGATCTAAATGAAGGCCACACATAGTCGAATGAAGATCCTAACCGTGTGGCCTTTTCTTTAGTTCCGTGTCGTTATTTGGCATCGTCAGTGTGCTGCTGGATGAAGGCCACAACAGGCCACCGCCGTCGCCTACCCCCCCACCGCACCCCCACCGCACCCCCCCCCCCCCCCAAATGGTCGCCCGATGCGTCAATCCGGCCAGCACCGACACACGAGACGATTTCAACAGACGTCGTCCCGGGGGGCCGCATTTTGTACGAGCGCTGGCGCTTTGTTTTGGCCGGAAAAAAATTGGAAATAAATAAATGAATGCATACGTATGTAGAGCGATACAATCCTGAGGAATGTAGCGCCATTGAAGCAGATTGGAGACGTCGAAATTGTTCGGTGGTCCCACAGAGCAAGAAAGAAAATTCAATTAAGGGCTTTCGGCATTGAAACGCTGCGTGCGGTGTCGCTAATTTCTGCTGTGTATGACAGAGTCTCAACACCATCTGCTTCTGCGCAAAGGGCATGCAAAACAGGTGCCGTCGGATTTATTAGGGTACTTACAATTGTAAAGAGCCGTTATTTTGACAGTTATTTGGAGAGGAGTTCTAAAAGATTGAGCGTTCCACATGAATCACTTTAATGGCAACGCAAGTATGCAATCGCTCCTTGACAGCGCGTTGGCAAGGTTACGAAGGTTGCGGTGTCAGTGACTTGTGCCGCTGAATTAAAAAGAGGCGTTATTCACGATTTCATTCGATGCATAGTGCATGCCAAGAGATATTCATCGTCGTAATCCTGCAATGTTCAATCCACTGCTGGATGAAGGCTTCCACATTTCTCGCGACCCGATGGTGTAACAATCCGCCGAGCGCCTGCACACGAGCCGATTTCATCACGCCATCTCCTCGTCGGATGGGGGGTTATCGCTGTAGAAACGCGCGTACATTGTGGACGCCGGGGTAATAGTTGGCGTCGTCTGCAGTGTCTCGGTGTAGATTGCTCCCCTGATACGATCGTTGGGCTCGGGTTTGACCGGACAGAGAAGGCGGGGGAGATTACAATGGGGAGAGCGCCGCGCATTGTTCAGTCGTTCAAGTCAGAGTCACTTCTCCAATGAGGGTGCCACTGTGGCGAGATCTTAACTCCCTCGCCTGGTATACAGGAGAACCGTGGGTTCGAATCTGACCCTGCCTCTTGCTGTATATTTTGAATTTGTGTCTCTCTCCCCGTGGTCACGTGGATGACCCTTGAGGGCGGGGACACGGCCTTATCGATACCGCCTTCGCCACTCGTTTGTCGCCCTGATTAATACTGCGTGTAAATTAACCACAAAAATACTATGCGCGCCGTCCGCTTCCAGGTGAACATTGAGATGCCCTGATTTCATTCACAAGGGCTGGGCCATTGCATGACGGACGTCTGGGTCCGCGTTTGTTACGTTTGAAAATTACCTGCAAATTACACAATTGGAATCTAAGTAGCGTTCATCGCCCCCACAAATGCAAACAGTTGGCAAGGATCCTCCTGGAAAAGTCACGAGACTTTTTTCACATGATAGGCCACTTCGTTGAGCTATCATTTGAAAAAGAGCGATATAGCTGAGTGGGCCTTACCTGGTGAAATGCAATAAATAGTTTCGTTTTAGAGATTGAAGACAGTGCTCATCTCCTGTTTGCTGTACTCTTTATTTAAATTCGGTGTTTTGCTTTTTGTCACTTCGCAGACCCAGGTCACCTTTTTTTTTGCAAATGAGACCCATGCTGGTCTCTTTTTTAGTTCCCAACCTGGCTACACAAATAAACTTGACTTGTGTACAACCCTTTTAGACGGCGATGAAAATGCCACATTCCCATGGTGGGGGGGTGGGCGGCGAGTTTCTCAACAGGTCAACCACTGTTCACTTTCTCAGAAAGCAGTAGAAGTAGTCCCTCGGTTAACAATTACATCGCTAAACTGGTTTTTCGGGTAAAGTTTCACCTCCCATAGGACCCCATGGTTTCAACTAAAGTACATTTTTTATTAATGTTGTGTTTACGTTGTCCACGCGGGGCCGCCAATTACGGCCAATCCGATTGCTCGTTAAGTGGGGCTTAGACATGCCCTCAGCCAATCGGCGACGTCTATTTATGAGCGTTGAGATCTCGACTGGCTTTGTTTCCATTGTGTTTTCTGTTTTGGCAGTGGAAACAGCTATCTTGCAGACTCCGTGATTTTTTTACTTATTTTACAAATTGTAAGTGAATTAATAGTGATTGCACTGGCCCCCTAAAGTGAATTCGCACGAGGAAAGAGGAGTAGGAAAGTAATTATCTTTAAAACAAAGCAGTATTTATTATTTAGGTCAACTTCCGATCGTACAATCGTCTTGAAACGGAGAAATGCTTTTCACATGTAATTCCTATATTTGATTATTCTGGTTAAGAGTAGTTTTCGTGGGACTCACTTTATCGACCCTGGAGAGTTGATGGGCTAAGTCAAACCCGAACCAGGATTTGTACTCAACCTGGTGATTGTGAGCCTCTCGCTGGACCACTGAGCCACCTGGCTGGGGTATTGCTGCTTCATTTGGTTCACAATACAAAACCATCAAACGTGGTATTTATAGTTTTTTTTTACAATTTCATTAACCTCATAGCTCTGTCAAAATAGAGGGTGAATGTACCTGACTCTCTCCGGTTATTGCAATGTAATTTCACTGTGAAGATGGATTATCGAAATATTAAAATGGCATTACTGCCTTTATTGAAATATAGTCATTTAAAGTAATGTTTGTCCTTCCTCGGATATTTTATCCCAAGAGCTTGGGATGTCGGGGAGGTGGCAGTAGGTTATACACTATGCTAATTTTGAACTTACCCTAATGTTCATTGCGTTAACCTTTACTGAAGTGGGCTGTACACTCGCGCGCGCGTGTGTGTGTGTGGATCGCGCGTTCTTCTAAAACACTTTGAATTAACTTTTAATTCTACGAAGAACCACCTGACCTATTTAGAATAATGTGCCAAGGGGAAATTCTGGTTTCTGAATCGACGTGCGTTTCTGACCCATTGTAAGATAGACATTGAGTATCATTGTGCCACACTGACAGATCGGTGTTATGCAATGATGCGCATTCATCTGTTTTTTGTGGTGCAATACTTTACGACCATTTCTAATGTTTTTGTCCTGGTTGTGAATCGACACAAAAAAACACATGTCCTACTTCGGAAGATCTC